AAGTAACTATGGCCATTCGAATGGCCTGGAACACAGCATGGTTTTCTTTGAGAGAAACAAGAAGTGGGTGGGGAGAGCTTTCCGCCTCCAAGACACCTTCTTCCACTGAATCAAAGGATGAATCACAACCCCACCCTGGAAGGCTCCCCCTCTCCTCTCAACTATTTTCCCTTCCTCTAAACCCTCTCATGACCTCAGAGATTCTCAGTCATTGCCACATTAGAACACCTCTTTCCCTGAGCTGGGCAAAGGGGTTCCACAGCCAACATGAAGGAATGCTTAGCTTTCTTTAAGTGAGAGAAAGAAGTTAAGTGAATGGAAATTTTCCCCCTAAACATCTGGCACCTGCTACAGCTTGTCTGCTGATGAGGAACAGATTTCAAAATGAATGAGCAAGGGGACAAACAAATAGCAATAGAAAAACATAGAAATGTGATTTCTTTAAATAGTTTATGTGTTATTGTTTGAGATGCAGTGACCTAGATACATACAATGGAGTAAAAAGTGGGAAGGAAGGCAGAGAAAGAGAGCTGAGTTCATGAACTTGGATTCCATCTCTGGCTGTTTCCTGGTGTTCTATAGCGAGCACCAGAAGGTCCAGGCTGCCAGAGCAAGTGTGAGAACCTCACCTCCTTCCAAGGGAGTGAATTGATTCCCAAGATTTGACCCCTGGATGGAACCTCAGGGAAAATTCCCTGAGACTGGAGGTACCCCAGGTCACATCACTGGAAAGCAAGGGAGAAGGCACTGTGTAATAGATCCTGTCTCCTAAGGCTGGAAACCAGCAAGGTTAACGGCTGAGCCCCGCTGAAATTCTCTGGGCATGTGGCTGGCGAAGTTTTGTTGTTTCCAAGGGACACAAATCATGCGCCACTGTGCCTGGCCCAGCCCTGTCAGTCTGGACTGACAAAGAATGACAAAGGGAAATGAATCCTCACTGTAGGGACTCTCCATTATCATATCACCCTGGGTTCTTGCATTCTGGGAAGTGCTAGAATCCAATGTGAGTCCAGGAGACAGAAAGGACGTGGAATGGAGATTGCATGGTTAGGAAGATTAGAGACAGGACTCTTGGGCACACATGGGAGTGTAACTTGCAGAATTAGAAAGCATAACCCCAATACCTTGTAATAACCTATAATGGAAAAGAATCTGAAAAAGAATATATATATATTTATATATATATATATATTAAATATATATATATATATTTATATATATATATATTTTATATATATATAAAAATCACTTTGCTGTACACCTGAAACTAACAAAACATTGTAAATCAACTATACTTCAATTTAAAAAATTAAAATTAAAAGAAGAAAGTATACCCCCGGTGCGTGCACACACACACACGCTTTAGACCACCAGACTGTGCTGCTTTTTATCTGGGGACATAGCTGCCTAGAATAGAAACTACGTTTCCCAGCTTTTCTTGCAGCTAGGCTTAGTCATGTGACTATGACTGGCCAATAGAATGGAAGAGTCTTTAAAGCAAAGTCAAGCCCCTCCCCTACATCCCTCATTCCACTGCCTGAAATATGAACAGGTTACAAGGCAATCTTGAATCATGCTGATGAAGGCAATGCTTGTAGACGCCAGAGCAAAGAAATTAAAGCAGCCTGCACCATTCAGACTGTGGAGATCCCATATCAGCCCTGGACTGCATACGCTTGGAATGTTATGTGAAAGGGAAATAAACTTCTATCTCATATGAAGCCGTTTGTTCTGTGGTTTCTTTTACTGCAGCTGAACCTATTTGTATATCCTACATCCCTGTCTTGATAAATGAAATTCCACTGTTAGTGATTTATCTGTTTTATAATTTATTAGACAAATATTCATCAAGCTTTGAGTGCTCTTTTCATAGTCTCTTAAATAGGAGCTGGCAGATGAGCACAGAGCTGGGTACCAGGGAAGGGAGTGAGTCTGGTCCATCACAGGACTCAGAAAGGGCAGGTGAACTCTGCTATCTGCCCCTCTTTCCCAGGACTGTCTCTTGCCTTGGTTTCCACAAATGGCACTGATCATCTGTCTGTGAAGCAACTGTTTTTAGAGAGGGCAACTAGGATTACTATGCAAGACTAGAAGAAAAACAAATTCAAGCTACCAGTGACTGAAAGAGGACAGAACTCTGTATCAGCACCTCCTGGACCCCGGGCATTCATTCAGCAAAGACTGATGATGGCACAGAGCAGAGTGAACATTCTTTTTTGATTGTTGCTAGCAGACAGTAACACAGGAGTAGGTGAGTGGAGGCTCACCTTCCAGAGTGGACCAGGGTGGGTGTGTAGGTGCCATGTGGTCGGTAAGGGGAAAGTTGTGGACCGTGGGGCTTTCCCACTAAATCCCGGAGGAAGGAGACACCCTGAATATTGGAAACATGATTTTTAAAAGAACATGTTAAATCCATATGAAAGAGAAACACAGAGGTAAAAAGCATAGGTTGATATTCAAAGTGATCTGCAACTGTAAAAATGGAAACGTTCTCAGACAGGAAGTAGAAACCTACCTCATTCAGATAACCTGTGCCACTTTCAGACATTTTGTCCCTGGAGCGCCTCTCCAGTTCACAGTGAGATTCATGGATGGGTGACTAATGATGACAGAAATCACTTTAGGGGACAAAGCCTTCAGCCACCCACAGCAGTGCAGAGTAGTGGGAAGAGTTTGGGCTTAGTAGGTAGAATGCCCTGGATTTATATCTGGCTCTGAGACTTAATTGTGTTATTTGGGCAAGTTATTTTACCTTGAGCCTTCGGGTCCCTCATCTGTAAAAATGGGGATAAAATGGGGAGCAGAAACCATAGTAGACGCTAAATATTCTAGGACTTGAACCTCCCAGGCTCCCTTGCAGAAGGCTGAGGTCGTGTGACTAGTTGTGGACAATGTCCGTAAGTGGAAGAGGCCTGTGTCACACCTGGCCGAGGCAGTTAGGTGTCCATGTGCTTCCTCCACCCCTCTCCTCCATCTTCCACAATGACCTCGGAGCACAGTCTTCCAGATGGTGTGGCTACAAGACTGAAGAAAGGTCTCTTGTCCCATACCAAAATTTACATGACTGATAAAACATTGTGCCCAGCCACCGAAAGTTCGAGAGTTCTCTGTTGTGACAGCCCGCATTAACTACCCTAATACAGGGAGGGCCAACAGAGGTCATTGGCACAAAAGCCTCTGGGTACAGTGAGGGCTGTTATCCTTAGAGAAAAGATATGAGTCCCCTATTAGTCAGCTTGCGTTGCCATAACAAAACACCATAAACTGGGTAACCTAAACAACAGACATTTATTTCTCATGATTTTGGAGGCTGGATATCAGAGATGAGGGTGCTAGCATGGCCCAGTGCCAGTGAGAGCCCTCTTCCTGGCTTACAGACAGCCACCTTCGAACAGTGTCCTCCCTGGCAGAGAGAAAGACACAGCTCTCTGGTGTCCCTTCTTATGAGGACACTAATCCCATCATGAGGGGACCCTCATGACCTCATCTAAACCTGTTACTTCCCAAAGGCCCCATCTCCAAATGTCATCACACTGGGGGACAGGGCTCCAACATATGAACAAGGGGCACAGTTCAGTCTATAGCACCCTTCAGCCCCTACTCCCCCAACTCCCGCTCAAGACAGGGCTCCTCAGATCTTCTCTTAAGAGCAAAATTTTAAAAGCAGAAGCAGGCTAGGGCAGAATGAGGTGGGAGTTTCATCCAGAGGGAGATGGTGAGGGAGACCTGCCTCCCCCTCTTTCCACTGATTGCGACCCACAGCCCTCCCTCAACCATCCTCTTCCTTCTGAGTCTTCCCCTCTTCTCTGAATCTTAACCCCTACACCAAGATGGGTGAAATCCATGCAATTCACAGACAAATTCTTAGACAATTAATCAGCTCGTTAGAACTGGAAGACTTAGAGGCCATCTTGTCTTCCTTCCTGATACTTACAGATGCAAGTCCGGGCCTGGAGATGGCATGAGAAGCACTAGAGGTCGAGGCTGGCTGGTCCTAAAGACAAGGGTTGGGGTGGGGCAGTTTGGTGCAGCCAGGGCAGAGAGAACATCAGAATATCAAGAAGGAAACTCTTTTCATTTCAGCATGTAAACTTCCACTAATTTTTAAAAATAAAGTTTTATTTTACAGTTTAAAGTTTTTATTTGGAAGTAGTACCTATTGAAGCCCCTAGGGCCCCTAAAATCTAGCGTCTGGCCTGTCCAAGCTTCAAATAGGGTCTCACGAGAACACCTTTCCTTATCCCATCCTTTCCCGGGGCCCCGGAGCTGAGGTCACGGTTTGGCCTCTGCTGCAGAGCAGCCTGTGACCATTAACTTCTTGACCCTCCACCCCCAGCCTTGGGGGCGCCGGATCACATGGCAACGAAGGGCTTTATACTCGCAGCCTCTCAGAGCCCACCGGACCTGTGACGCCCAAGCCCACGGCCAGGCTCCTTGTGGGAATCCTGCTCCTCTGCTAGGGCACGTTTCCCGCCCTTTAAAAAGGGGTTTACGAAGGTGAGCCAAGAGAGCATTTGGAATCTTACACTCTAGCAGAAGGTGGTAGCCGAGGCATCATAGTTTAGCCAGAAGGTGCCAGCTGGGTTTGGAGAGAGAAGTGGGGGGTTGGGGGAACCACCCCAAACGAGATTTCTTCTCAGGCTGAAAGCTTGATGTGTTCCCAAAACGACTTCAAAGCCCTGCTTCACCTCCCTGGTGGCTCTGGAGGTGAAAGAAGGTGGCGCATAACCTGCAACATCCCTGCCCTCCCCCAACCCTGCACCCTCTCCCAGCATCTCAGTCCCCACCCCCACCAGCGTCTTAGACCCTCTCCCTGCCCTTCTAGGCACAACGACTCTTTCCTTCCCCATCTTTCTTTCCACCTCATTCTCTACCCCCCCCCAATTAAAGTGTGATTGGGGAATAATTGCTCCCCCAATACAGGACACCGTTTGGGGCCTACAGAGGTAAGGGGGTGCCCAGGAAGGGAGAGGCAGAGGGAAAAGTACTAAATCCCTACCCTTTCTCACTCCTGCTCCTCTGAGTGCTGCTGGGGGTACAATGGGGGTAGGATCTGGGGGTGACCATCTCAGGGACCCTCCTCCACCTTCCCCCATTGCCAGAGAGCTGGTGACTCAGGGGTTGTCCCCACAGACGACTGGAGCTAGGTGCTTCCATCACTCTGAGTGCTTCAGTGACTGCTGCCCCATCAGCTTGAATCATGGAGGTGCCTTCTGTGCCCCTAAGGCCAGAGTAGCCATGATGTGCTTGCCCCAGGAGGGGCGGGGCAGCCCCTTCCGGCATGTAGGGTGGGGAAGGTTTAAAACCCTCACATGGCTGCACCCGCTTTTTTCACCCTTTGCTTGTAGTGCCCTTCCCCGCTCCTCTGTCAAATTCCTACTGGTCCTGCAGTACAATTGCAGCCACCTCTGAGAAGCTTTCACTCCTTGGCTCATATCTTCAGCAGATCATGAATCTCCCTGATTTGCACTGCTTTCTGTCTGCTTCGGCCCCCTACCTCCCAGCTTAGTGCTGCCCCAGAGTAGGTGCTTAACAAAGATCTGTCAAATGAATGAATAGCTCTCCCTTAGCATCACTGCAGCAAAGCAGGTGGGGAAGACCTCCTGATCAATCCCCGACTCCCTGCAACAACAAGTCGATCTCTTGAGAGGAGCATGGTGCTGCAGTGGCAGGATCACAGCTTTGGGGCTGGACCTGAGTGTCAACCCTGGCTTTTCCACACTCCATTGTTTTCCTTGTCTTGTTTTGTTTTTCTTTTTATAAATAGAGGTACTGAGGATTGAACCCAGGACCTTGCACCTGCTAGGCATGCACTCTACCACTGAGCTGTACCCATCCCACTCCACCCTCTGTCTTTGTGATCTCAGACAGATCACTTCTGCTCTTAGTTTCCTCATCTGCAAAATAGAGCTAAAGCACCCCCCTTCACCAGGTTGTCAGGAAGAGTACGTGGTCCTGGTCCTGACAATGACAGTGCTCAATGGAGCATGGTTGTTATTAGCTGGTGGAAATGCAGGGAGCAGAATGCACAGTACATCTTGTTCTTGCTTGTCTTTTCTCCTCTGGCCCTGGTCCCAAACCTCTGGGGAGGATGGGCTTAGCCTCTCTGTCCCTATCTGGGGAGCTGCCAATGCTTAGGGAAACAGCCAGGCCCCTCCTGTGGCCTGACTCTACAGCTGAAGTGGCCAGAAGATCTTTTCATTATGGGCACTTGATCTACTTTATTCTGTTTAATCCTCACAATAACTAATGGGATTAATATTTTATATATATATATGTATATATATAAATTATTACCCCCATTCAACAGAAACTGAGACAAAGAAGCTCATTAACTTGCCTAAGGCCATGAAGTTGTAAGCTGTAGAACTGACAGACCTCAAGTCCATCCCACGCCATCACTTGTGCTCTTGTTCCTGCGCCCTGAGAAGTTTAAACCCCCTTCTTCCCTGCACCTTGGTGACTGACTCTCAACTCTGACCCATTTTTTGCAGACCAGGGGAACCATCAACATCATATGTCCTTGCCAGAGAGGCTTGAGTTGCACATCCAAGGACTCATTTTGTCAGACCAGGGGAACCGAACTCAACAATCATATGCCCTTGCCAGAGAGGCTTGAGTTGCACATCCAAGGACTCAGGCTGTGCCTGCCGATGCCATTTGATTTAGAGGAGGATGCAAACTGGTCGCTGCCACCCCTTCCTCCCTGCCTTGGAACCAGAGGCCTCAGGGGGTGGGGTCCCCTCCTGCTCAAAAGACATTAAAGTCACTTCCTGGCTCTGGACTTTGTCTGCACTTCCTGGGAGAAGGGACTTGGTAAAGATTGTTCCAGTCTTTCAGCAGCTGAAAGGGGAGACTAGAGGCACGATAGAGCTTCCCATGGGGTTTGGTTCTGTCTGGAGGCTTAGTGGCCCAAGGGCAGACCTGCAGGAAGGGAGTAGGGTGTGTGTGTGTGTGTGTGTGGATTGGGTCGTGAGAGGAGGCTGGTCCAGGAAGAGCCAAGTCTTAGGTCCCAGGGCTGTGTGGAGGGGCAGGGTTGAGGAATGTGCCTGGAGAGAGTATGTTGGGCTGCCCATGAATGGATGTGTGTAGGAGGACTGAGAGCAGTTATCTGAATGCCTTTCAAGGGGAGTAAGGGGTGGAGGTCACTGAGAGGGTGTTTATGAGAATGTGTGTGAAGTATAAATGCAAAAATGTTCCTACCTGTGGTGAGAAAGGTGCACTGATGCATTGATGCATTGGTGCATTGATGTTATAGCAGGCAGGTAGCTAGATATGAGCAGAGAAAGGGGGAGCCAAATGGCAGGAAACCATACATCTTGTGAACAGGGGTCCTTGGGCAGAGAAAAGCTGGAACCTCCAGACCGATAAGAAATCACACATTTTGGGGTGACAGGTGTCCTGGAGGTAGGCAAAGAAAGATGGGAAAAGGCAGGAATCTCCCTCATTCGAATATAACCTTTTGCTAATTATGCCCTCATTACAATAAAATTAGCCTTGAAGATAAGAAGCACCAATCATGCTCCAACGCGATGACACTTCCGATCAAGACTAAATAAGAACAACAACAAAAAAAAGATTAAATAAGGACAAAAATTCCTCCTCCCCTCAGGAAGGTGGAGCTGGGATGGAAATCAGGGAACATGACCCCAAACCCCTCCCTCTCTAATGAATATTCCACCCATTTATTTTTACACCCTATGTAACCAGATTGCCAAAGAAACAGCGCAGCTGTTTGCCTGAGTCGGCCTGCTCTCCCCTTGAAAGTGTATTATTTATCACTTAATAAATCCTCACTTTACTTTACTTTCTTGACCTCTGTGTCTCATCTCTGAATTCTTTCTGTGATGAGACAAGAACCTAATCTCCAGCAACACTGATATCTCCATAAGCTCAGATATTATCATTTCCATTTTATGGAAGAAGAAACTGAGGCCCAGAGACTTGCCCAAGGTCATATGGTGAGGGTGTCTCTGAGGACTCTTTCTGCTGCAAGTATCCAAAAAGCCAACCCAAACTGGTCTAGATGATGAGGGAATTCATTGGTGGTCAGAACTGGAAGTCCAGGAACCGGGAGACCTCAGGTCTGGCTGAATCCAGTAGCTCCACAGCCCTCAGGCTGGATTCCTTCCCAGTAGCTGCAGAAGTTCCAGGTGTCACCTAATAATAACAGCTAGGATTTATTGAGCACTTACTATGTTCCAGACACTGTGCAAAGTACTTTCTTATCTGTATTAACTCATCTTATTGTCACAACAAATTGATAATAGGTACTATAATTATTCTTATTTTACAAATAAGGTGTTGAGCCTTAAAGCACCCATGCCAAGGATTCAGAGTAGGGGTGGGGCTGGGATTTGAACCCAGGCTGTCTTGCTTTAGAGGGCAGGCTCTTGACCACAAATCCACCTCACATATATGAACCGTATATAACATATATAAACATCTCAGTCTCAATTCTTAGCAAACATCCTAAGATAGATTCTGATTGGATTTGCTTAGTCTGCACACTCAATGCTGAACCAATCATTGCAGTGGAATTCGCTGACTGACTTAGCCTGGGTTACCTGCAGGGGTGCAAGAGTGGAGTCAGCTTCCAGGAAATATTCCCATGGAGGTGGGTACAGGTTTTACGTGGTGTCCCCACAGCCATGAGACCACCAACACAGTCAGGACTCAGAACGCCACCCCCTTTTCTGGCCAGATCCTAATGAAGATGCCAGGCCTCAGCTCTGATGTCTGGACTCACTCCCGTGGGTCAGACTGCAACGCTGAGACTCCACCTCACTTCCAGTTCACTCTTCCCTGGGGGTCACCTTGCCTTGGAGCCCTCGCCAATCCTCGTTTGACATAACAACTGTGTAACTCAGAGATCCTTTTTCTCACTGAGAAATCAGAAATTGCTTTTTCTTCTATATCTTTATATCTCAATATTTCCCTCATGTCACCGAAGTATTTTTTAGAACAGTAATGACTGCCTAATTTTATTATATATGTGGACCATATTTGCTTAATTGTTTCCTTATGGGTAAAGAATAAGATCCTTTCCAAATCCAAACCATCCATGTTCTTTAGGATACAACTTGAGAGCTGCAGAAGCGAAAACCTACTCTCATGATGGCTTAAGCAAGTGGATGATTTCTCTCTAACCAGGTAGCCGGGGGAAATCTGGATGGAGGCTCTGCTGGGTGATTGTCCATGGCCCCCACTTCCTTCCATCCTCTTGCTCAGCCATCTGCTGCTCTGCTTCCTTCTTTTTTTCTTTTCTTTTCTTTTCTTTTCTTTTCTTTTCTTTTCTTTTCTTTTCTTTTCTTTTCTTTTCTTTTCTTCCTTCCTTCCTTCTTTCTTTCTTTCTTTCTTTCTTTCTTTCTTTCTTTCTTTCTTTCTTTCTTTCTTTCTTTCTTTCCTTTCTTGTCTTTCTTTTCTTTCTTTCTTTTCTTTCT